ACTTAGAACAATGCTGTGCCTTTCTCGATTTTTCAAATAATAACAACATATAGAAACACAAATTTGTATGTTGCATTTGTTTGAAAAAGAAATTCTGGGCAGTGCCTGTGGCTCAAAGGAGTAGGGCACCAGCCCCATATGCTGGAGGTGGCGGGTTCAAACCCAGTCCCAGCCAAAAAAAACTGCAAAAAGAGTTAAATTCTGCATAACTCACTTAAGGTAACAATCTTTTACAGAATTTGGGCACCATAGGAATGTTTCTTCTAGACTTTGATTTCAAATGGATTATCTGATACAGAAGTGAATTTTCACCTCTAAGTACTTCTCACAGATCAATGATCACTTAGCTCATAGATCTACACTATGAGGAAAAATGTATTTCTTTTTCTTTTGGACTGGGGTCAGGTTTGAACCCACCACCTCTGGTATATGAGGCCAGTGACCTACTACTTTGAGCCACAGGCACTGCCCGCAGATAGCAGAGTTTTTTATATTTTTTGAGACAGAGCCTCAAGCTGTTACCCTGGGTAGAGTGCCATGGCATCACAGCTCACAGCAACCTCCAACTCCTGGGCTCAAGCAATTCTCCTACCTCCCAAATTCTTTTCTTTTTTTTTTTTGTCTTTTGTCAAATAAGAGTATGTCTATTAAAAAAAAAAAAGAGTATGTCAATTATAGAATGATTTGATACTGAGGTTCAGTATGGAGTCATCAGTTAACATCTTGTTTTTTTCCCTGAAGTCTCAAAAAATAGACAATATCTATAAATAAAAATAAAAGATAATCTTAAAAAACAGATCATGCCAAATCTTATATACCATAGAAAAAGAAGAAATACTTCAAAATCATTCTACTTCATCTGGATACACCTGACAGATTTCTATTTTCTTTTATATCGGGGAGGTTGGACATGTTGTGGGGAAAGAGAGTATATGGGGAATTATCCTGCCTACCAGGGTTTGTCCTTTGGGCCCTAAAGACTCACATCTGTTCTAAATGCAAATATGTTCATACCATCCGAAGCTCCCAAAAGTTCTTTGAATCTATCAAAATCTCACTAGCTCAAAGGTCCTAAATCTCATCTAAACTGTCTAAATTAGGTATGGGTGAGGCTCTGGTATAATCCATCCTGGGGCACAATTCCTCTTTACCTGTGGACCCATGAAATAGAAATCTAGAAATAGAAATACCTGCTCCCAAAACGAAAAGGCAGGACAGACCTAGACTAGTTATACATGCATTTTTTTCAAAAAAGGAGAAAATGGAAGAACAGAGGGGAAAGAGCCATGAGTCCCAGAATATTTTGAAATCCAGTCTGGCAAACTCACTTTAGGTGTCAAGAGCTGGGAATACCTCCTAGAGTCAGGGCACTGCCCACTGGGCTTACAACTATGCAGTCTCAGTCTCCCCTGTCCTGAGACATCCTTCTTCATGCAAGGTACCTGGAAGTTCAGATTTCCATCAGTCTCATATGGATAGAATGACAGAGGTTCCAGATTCTTTAATTTCATTAAAGAATTACACTGTTCCTTTAGAGACAAAGTGACAGTGTTCCTACTAGTATAAATTTTCTAGCCAGGTGTGGATGTAAGGGTGAACAACTATATTACAGCACATTCAAGAGAAAGTGCATGTTAGAAGGAGGCGCCTAACGACCTTGCTGATTAAGAGAAACGATACAAAAGACCAGAGACGATTTAACACGTGCACACATTCCAAAGAAATTTACTCATATCACTCTCCACCTTCTTCCTACTTCATCCTCACAATACTAGCCTATCACAAACCAGGACTACATACATAACCAAATCTAGAAGTAGCCCTCGTTCCCCCACTAACTAAACCTATATAAACCCCTACCTATTACAATAAACAGCTTCGGCTCAGTCCCTTTCCCAGTGTGTCTGTCTTTGTCTTATTTGTCTTCCCCTTTCATACGCCGACTCCCCAACCCGCCGACGCCCGCCGGCCAGGAGGCGGCATGTGGTGGCTCACACCTATAACTGTACTTGTGAGGTGAAGGCAAGAGGATGGATTGAGCCAAAGAGTTTGAGGGTACAGTGAGCTATCATCATGCTACTGCATTTCATTTCAGCTAGAGTAATAGAGCAAGAATTCATAATTTTTAAGAACTTTGTGAACCTCCTATTTATCACTGGGATTCACTCCCTCAGAGGTTTATCTGATTTTCTTCCCCTCCATAATCCTCTATTTTTGGCTTTTGCTGAGATGACTGAGGAATATTTTTAAACTGCTTAGATGCTGTGTTGAGGGGACCTGCAAGTCACACTTAATCTCTTCAAACAGCTTTTTGTGTGGCATAATATCCTGATTTTTTGATTGGTATTAGCAAAAGGTTGTGCAGCCACACTCATAGCTATTTCTCTAGAACAGTGTTTTTCAACCTATTTTTATTTCACCTTGAACCTATAGTTAAACTTCCATGGCACACTTAAATTATGTCAATCAAAAAAAAAAAAAGTAAAAAGGGAATATACTTATTGTGCTTTGAACTTCAAAAATAATTAACAATCTTTAAAATTTTTCACAGCATACCTAAGATCCTTTCATAGCACACCAGTGTGTCATGGCACACTGTTGAAAAATCACTGCTCTAGAACATGCTTTCCTGACAATCAATCTCTTTTTTTTTT